GTTCTTCAGATAATGAAATAAATTTGATTTAATTTAATTTTTTTTCTTTTTTGATTTGTTCCTGTAAAAAAAATGACTTCGATAGGGAAAATAAGACCACTTATGAAGCGATGCCTTTGCTTGTTTCATTATTTTTATTTTTTGTCTTTATTATTTGCCTGTGAATAATGTTATATTGAATGTTTGATTTGTAATATATGACTTAAGAACGCTAAAGAAAAATAACGGATTTTTAGAATGACAAATCAATAAATGACTTTTCAGTTAATGATTAGATTGCTTTAAGTGCCAATCAAAAGGAAAAAACAATTATAAAATTCTTTTTCATATGTAAAAATCAAGTGATAATAACAACCAACATTAAATGTTAACTATATCGGAAGTTTCTTAGGTTTGAGATTCATTTGCATTCCGTTCAATTTTTTTTTCCTGAAAATAGTCATAAAAATAATGGCTTATTTAGAGGTCTCAAACCTGGAAAAGAATGTAACCAACGAACAACTTCAATATTTACGTCAATGTAAGTATTCATGTTATATATTCATTCTTAGTAGAAAATTACTCAAATTAGATTATATAATGAACAAGTTCCCCGAAATGATGGAAATTGAAAGAATAGCCAAACAATGGAATATTGATGATTTTAATTTTCATATAAATTTGTCGGTTAGTATTTTTTTGTTCTGTCTAGTCGATATTGAAATTTGTTCATTTACAGGATTGGTTTTTTTGTCAACAGATTGTTGAAGAAGTGGCCGAAGAAGATCGAATTGAAGCATCAAAAGCTGCAGCTTAGCTTTGATATATTTCTTTGCTTAATATTTATGCCTCTGGCCTTTGTTTGATTACAAGATACAATTTTGTGACACTTCATTTTGTAATTTTTGATAAAACTGGCAATGTTTATATTTAATTTGCTTGTGTTTAAATCTCTGATAATATGTTTATTTAAAGAGAATAAAGTTAAAATTGTTTCTTCTATAATTTTATTGCATTAAATTGAGATCATCTGGTAACATATATTTCATCTATGTTATAACTTCACATTGATTTTCTTTAATTGATATTGCTCAATTAGTACATCATCATGATTATTTCATTTATCTTTGAATATTTCCATTAGGTGACATAGAACATAGTTCGTCTCATAAAAAGTTTCTACTGAATCGAATTTATATATATAGGTATATCTACAATAACAACAGTTTGTCCCTTCTCTTTTAATGTCTATCTTTAGATGAAATAAAGTCAAGCAAAAACGAATGCTCTTCCCAGTTAAACATCATGTTCAATCTCATTAGCAAATCTATGTTCGATGAAATGTATAACTTTAATGAATAGAATAAAAATACTTTTCATATTCGATTAATTTCATATGCTTTTGAACAAATATATTTTGATTATAAAATGCTTAATTATTGATTTAAAAGTTTTCGTGAGAAAATATTTAATTAAAAACATTAAAAAGTATAAATAAGTAACTTACAAGTGATGATCTATCAAGAATTTTTATTTATTGAGCAAAGAATAACAAAAAATAACAATTTGTTTTCTATAATATTTTAAAAAAATCAATTCAACTTTTCGTAATGTATCATTTAAAAATTTATTCAAAAATATTTAATGCGTGTGACATGTTCACATTCTAGATCAAAGGGCGCCAAAGATTTATATTAGCGAATTAAAATTAAATGGAGGATAATTGCGATTCGAAATTCTGTGTAGTAATGATTGGATGTTACGTAACTAAAAATTAAATAAATATGTAAACAACCACACTTTCTTTTCTATACTATTATGCTTGCACCGAAAAAATTTTAATTGATTTTTGTTATTACAAATTTTGACCAAATATTTTATACCAAATCATCGATTTTTTTTTGGTATGACTTCAAACATCAATGTTGGTCAAGGCAGTTATAGTGATGAAGTTAGATAGTTTCTCATCATTATTTTGAGCCATAGTAATATCTTTGTTTTAGATTAATAGATTGACAGAAAAACGTAAAGAATGTAAAAAAGCAATATGATATTATGAACAGACAAGGAGAACAAGCGACGCATCAATCTTTTGATGAAACGTTATTTAATTTGGAAATGAAATGGCGAACTAAACAACTTCCCTAGAGAATGTACTAAGTTAAGGGTACCCGAAAAAGTACCCTGTTACCAGTATGTCACAGGAACTTTTGAGTACCAAAGTACTTGAAGGTACTGATCAGGTACTCAATTAGGCACTATTGTATAGTATTTCTAGGTACCCTGTTACAAAAATTTCAGTGTGTTCAGGATCGAACCTGACCTTTAACTTTTTTTAATTTTTGTTTCTCTCAAAGCAATTTACTACGTTTTTTTTTCAATTTTATTCAATTTAATTTTTTCAATTCCGAAAACTTAGCAGGTACAATCCCGGCATCTGACCCGACTTGAGTTGATCAGGCATCCATCAGATCACTTTGGAGTAGTCCGCTCTTAATCTACGATCAAGATCGGCATGTTCTCGACTAAGAGATAGTCAAGAAATAATCTAGAAAAAACTAGTATGAAAATAGATTAATTTCTTATGTCTTACTCAGTTGTTTATATGTAGCCGTGCGTGAAAAAGAAAACGGTGAATGAATAGTCGCTACACAGAACGCGACAAATATAGGGTACCCTGTATAGGTTGCCTCAGTAAAATTACAGATGCGAGTACCCATACAAGTACTTGTTAAGTGAGCGTACTTTTATGGGAACCACACTCAGTACCTACATCAGTATAATTACTGAGAATTTTTGAAGTACCCATATTGGGTACCCTGCTAGGCCTTTCTCAGTACATGGGTACCCTGAACTCAGTACTTTCTCTAGGGATTGACTATATAACGGCAAGAATCGAATATTTAACTTATTTGAAAAATAAAATTCATTTTCACCGTAAGTGCTTCTTTATAATAACATTATAAACAAATTTTATTTTTGATAGGTTTGGGTCTCAAATAAGTTTGTGATTACAAACAAATAAAAAAAAAACTTTTTTTAACAGTTAAAACGGTTTCATGTTTTTTTCTTTTGTTTCATGCTTTTTTTTGTAACAGTTAAAACTGTTTCATGTTTTTTTTGTTTTTAATAAACTTTATGATTTACATGGTTAATAATATCGTCTAATTAACACATACTTATAGAAGAATTTCATTTTCCTTTGAGGATTTTCAACTTCTTTATATAAGTTTGTTTCCTAGATTTCTGTAATGAATGCACTTTTTTTTATATAATATCTATGCACTTTTAAGTACATAGGATAATAACAATTGTCATTGATGTCATTGTGTTTTTATATGTTGAGAAATCAATAGAAAATAAATTATTTTTTAAACTTTAATTTTCAAACTTATCTTGATATATAAACTACAAAGTTTCACAAATAGCAGAGATGACTTTAATCAATTGAGATGATTTTTTTTCCTCAATACATAATAATATAATATATCATTCTTGATAAAGTTTTTCTCAAACATCATAACTATCAAGATGTTTGCTCAAAATGATTTGAAATACGTATAATATGACTCACTATTTTATTTTTTATCAAGATGTAATTGATTTTATTTTCAAAAATAATATTCTTAATGTTTTAAGTCAAATTTTGAGCTATTTAGTTTTTTTTGTTTTCGAAAACAAAAACAATTAAAAAAAAACTAATGACTTTGCTTTTCTAATAAACTAAATCATATTTATAAGATGGTGTTATATAGAGAATTATTAATAATAAAATAATTGGTATCCGATAATAAATATTCGATTTTTAATTTCGATATTTTATATTTATATTAAGTTATACTGTTGATCTCATCAAATAGAACATCAAATTCTCTAAAAAAACCTGTCAATGTTGTCTTTGAAATAGACTTTCCTTGTCAGTGTAAACTTCATCGAATGAACATGTATTGTATTGTCCAACTACAATTTCCTATAGTTGTATTAATAAAAAATGATATTAAGTATGTTCACATTAAGATCAATGCTAAGAGTAAAGTATTATACATCAAAAGATAAAAAATTTTTGTTCTGTATGTTTATGACCTTAGCATAGCTCTGAACATGTTTGTTGAGGAGCATATAAAGTTAGGAATTAATTCTTGATTCTATTTTTATATTCATGAAGAGAAATAATTTTTTTACATATCAAACTTGTTCTATCAAATTTTGATTTTTCTACCATCGGATACAGAATTTAATTCTAGTCAAATAAATATGTTCACTTGAATCGTTAGAATGTTTTTTAGAGGTTTGAACCAATCGAAAATAATAATTGGTGTTAGCTAGGATCTAAATAGTACTAAATTAAAAAATAACGATTATTAAACAGCTAAAAGATAGAAAAGCAAAACAATTCATTCATTATACAACACTCATTAATATTCTTGATGAAATTGTGTATTAATATATTTGTCTAAAATGTTTTTCTAATATATATATATATATATATTTCATTGATTATTCAATCATATGATCCTACTATTTCTTTGAAATGATAGAACACAATAAATGAGTCAGAAAAAAGAATATCTACATAAATGATTAAATAAACAAAATTCTTTTCATTCGAAGTTTTCAATGATTATGTTTATTTTTTTTTTTTTGGCAAAAATAAAATTATTTTAATCGACGTCAACGAATAAAAAAGAGTTCCGAGTTGTTATAGACTCCATAATATTTAATACGTCGATTATCATTAATTAATTGTTGGTGATGATGAGTAGCTAATGTATATCTTTTCCAAATACTTTTCCAATAGATATTTTTATTAGAAAATATTTCTTTGATAGTTCTTTTTAATTGATATACACGAGCTTCTTCTGATTTATAAATTGTTCTTGTTTAAGTTGATTTAATTTTGAAAAAGAAATTTTTGATGGATGATAATTTATATCAGATAATAATGGATCAGAGGATATTATTGTTGATAAACGAGAATAAATATTTGAAATAAATTTTTCATGAGACATATTTTTCTTTTTTTATTTTGTTTGAGCTGAATCATAAGATATTTTATCAATTTGTTCTTGTAATTTTTCTTTAATCATTGGTACAGCTGATATTTGAACAAATAAATGTTGTTCATCTAAATTATGTAAAATAAATTTTTCACCAAAAGCTAATGTTTCATCTAAATAAACTAAATATTGTTTTACAGCTGGATCACATTTAATTAATGAACCTTTTACGACGTTAACCATATCTGAAAAATTAAATCTAGTCTTTTTTTTGTTTTATTTAAAACAAATTCGTTCAATCTTGACAGTTATAAAAATAATATTCTTCTTTGTTTCATTTTAGTTAATATTGCAGGTGGTACTAAGGAAAGATTTACACAGTAGTACCGCACATTTGATCAGATATTTTCTTACTAAATTGAAGGTCTTCGCTCGATCTACAACTTTTTTCTCAAAGTCATATCTTGATTTTACTCTTGAACAAATCTATAAGATTTAGACGAACAATTTATTATTATCCATTTCAAAAAAAAGAATAGACTCATTTGTTTGTTAAATAACTCGACAAAGCAGATAGCTATCGATCTCGAGTTTTCGCCCTTAGAAAGAGTATGAGTGGGAGTAGAAGTCTACTTGAGAATCAAAATATTTGAAAAGTTTTCTAGAGGGGTTCAGGGATTTTTTGAAAAATGACTGTCTGATTCGCTTGATTAGCTGTACTTTCAAGTCAAATTGAAAATCTTATATGTCGAGAAAGAAAAATCCTTTTTGACTAAAACTTTTAGGATATTTTAGAGCAATCTATGTCAAAATTTTGCAAAAAATGGTCATCATTTTTTGAGGAAAGATCGAAAATGCCTAAAAATTTTCGGATTTATAAAGTAGATATTGGCCTACAATATCACTTGAGAATACAGCTAATCAGATAGTTAGTTTCCACAAAAACTTCTTAGAAAACTTTTTGAAGTATTTTTATTCTCAAGTAGACTTGTACTCCCACTCATGCTCTTTTTCTAATGGCGAAAACTCGAGATCGATAGCTGTCACCATTGCCGACTCATTCAACAAACAATCGAGTCCATTCTTTTTTTTAAAATGGGTAATAGTAACTTCTTCATGTGCGTCCTATAACTCTGTTCAAGAGCATTAACAAAAAACGATTTTCGAAACAAAGTGTTATCCTAATACAAGATCTACAATTATCATTTTTAGTATGAAATATATTTTTTGTAATAATCATCTTTGTAATGACTCGAAATATGTAAACGAAATTCTGGAAGGCATAAGATAAGTTTATATATGAAATCTAAAAAAATCTTATTCGAATATATAAGATTCTTTTATGCAGAAATAAAAATACTAAAAATAGTGACTATTTATTTTCTTCTCATTTCTTTTTCTTCAAATAGTTCTATGTGATGAAATAAATAAATAATAAATAATCGAGATAAGAAGACAACAAATTGGTCTATCGATCAATCAATCACAATATGTATAATATGTGCACCAATTCGATATTTTTCTATCTAGCGACATCTTTTTCAATGTTAAAATTTATTAGCAAAGAATTTTCTTTAGGAGTATATCGAGTGGAAAGTTCTTGGGATGACCCTCCAATTTTTTACAAAATTCTTATTTTTCTCCAGCTGAGTTCTAATGTTTTATTACTTTTTTATGCTCATCAATATTCAAAAAAAACACTCAATTCTCTCTCAATTCAGCTAACTTTAGTAAAAACCTTTTAATCAGATTCCTGATTCAACGACCACCCGTGTGATTCCGGCACACTCTTGTTCATTTTTATAGATTTCATGAATTAAATAATCAATTGGTTAAGATCATTAGGTAGTATGAACAAATAACAATCGAGAATTAATTCTTCGAAAAAGAATAGTCTTACAAAACTATATTCAATTTTGTAAGAAATTTAACTTATTAACAAAAATATGTTTTACACTGACGAAAACAAGCGATGAGGAAGATAAAACAATATTGCTTTTTTTCTTAGTGAGAATTCTAAACGAAAACCAATACATTTGTTTAATTATTATATTCAAATTCTATTTTTGACAAAATAATGAGTTGCAAGAAAATTTATTTTTTTTGTGCAAATCAATAAGACGATATTCAATTGTTCTGGAATAATCTCAATAATAAATCATCGTTTTTGAAAAATCTTGATGAAAAAATTCATTAAGACCTTTAAATCAGTCGCTCATTTCCTTGTTTACATCACCGTTTATTTCCTTTTGTCCTGCATCAGTTATAACAAAGCAAAATTTATTGTATAGGGTCATACATTTTGGAAATAACATCCACTAACAAAGCAATCTAAAATTATATTTTTGTTTCAAAGTGCTATCATATCTAGAAAAGTGCTACAATAAAACCTCCATCAGTAAACACTTGCTTACTCTGAACTTGAACTTTATTTTTACAGTCCCGATTGTTATTTTAACCTCTGTTAAATGAACACACCAATAATACAGAACTGTGCAAATCAAAGCAAAGTTGTGTATTCTATTGAAAAGTTTGCAGATTCATAAATATTCAAATGAAGAAAGACGAACAACGTAGTGACTGGTCCGCTGATTACTTCGAAACTATTATCCATTTTAAAAAAGAATGGGCTCGGTTGTTTGTTGAATAACTCGACAATGCTGATAGCTATCGATCTCGGATCTTCACCATTAGAAAAAGCATGAGCGGGTGTACAAGTCTATTTGAGAGTGAAAATACTTGAAAAGTTTTCTAGGAATTCAAGGATTTTTGGAAAATCATTATCTCATTCGCTTGATTAGATGTATTTTCAATTTTAATTTAGCCATATTGTGGGCCAATGTCTACTTTATAAACCGGGAAATTTTTAGGCGTTTTCAATCTTTCCTTAAAAAATGATGACTATTTTTACTGAATTTTCGATTCTTTTCTAGATATTTACCGGAAAATGAACTTAAGGAACTCCGACCTGAAAATTTACCCATAGATAGGTCTAATGACTCATAGAATATCTTAAAAATGTTAACCAAACAGGATTTTTCTTTCTCAACATATTGAATTTTCAATTTCACTTGAAAATATACCTAATCAAGCGAATCAGACAGTGAGATTTCCAAAAAAATCCCTGGAACTCCTAGAAAACTTTTCAAGTATTTCGATTCTCAGATAGACTTCCCAAGTCGATCGTTCCGGTCACCGGATACTGCAGGAAAACACCGGAAATCAACGAAACATGGAAGCAGTATTCCGACCGAAAATTTTTCGCAGTGTTTCCGGATGATTTCAGGCCGATTCCTGTCGGAAAGAACAGGAATTAGTTGGAATCCACCGGAAAAAAGTCCGAAAAATTTCCGGTCAGAATACTGCTTCCATGTTCTGTTCATTTCTGGTGTTTTTCTGCGGAAACCGGTCCATAATTCTCGACCTGGGTTGTACCCCACTCATGCTCTTCCCAGATCAATGATTCTGGAGAACCGATACTGCAGAAACCGGCAGAAAAACACAGGAAATCATCGGAACATAAAAGCAGTGTTCCGATCGGAAATTTTCCGGATTTTTTTTGATGATTTCCGGCCGGTTGTTGCTGAAAGGCACAGGAAGTTGATCGAAATCTACCGGAAAAATCTCCGGTGGAAATACTGCTTCTATGTTCCAGCAATTTCCGGTGTTTTCCTGCCGAAATCAGCCCGTACTTGTCGACCTGGGTTTCTAATGGCGAAGACCCGAGATTGATAGCTATTAGCGTTGCTGAGCTATTCAGTAAACAACCGAATCCATTCTTTTTTGACATGAATAATAGTAACGAGGGTTATATTGCGAAAGTTTTTTCATTTCTTAGTAAAATGTATGACATTTACTGTAGATGAAGACTTTTTAATAGTGAACATTTTTCAAAGGTTTCAACGGTGTTTCATTTAAAGACAGGCTTTTACTGTATTTCATATAATCTCTCTTTGACATAGTCAGTTAATGATCATGCAAACTTGTAAAATGTTTAATATTTGGTCCATTCTTGATTTACTTATTTTAAAATATTCATAGACATGGAACGGTTATGACAACTAATGTCCATTTCAGAATAAAAGAAGGGTAGTTGTTTTTCGAATATCTCTTCAACAGAAAGAGTTATCGATCTATGGTTTTCACCATTAGAAAGAGTCTGACATTCTGCATCTTTCTATATACTAGTTAATAAAATTTACTCATAAATTTGATGAGCAGTCAGTGAAATTCAAAGAAGAAGTTAAAGTGCTTTGAAGAATGTATGGAATTTCAATTCTAAGGGATGCGCTAGAGTCATCTACTCAAGATCTACAACTCTACATAAACCCGAAATTTTTATTTTCTATCATTCAAAAGATATACATTCCACACTGATCATTAAAAATGCTGAAAACAGCTATTTATGAGTATTTTTTCAATTTTTTTTAATTCTATGTTTATCAATTAACAGTTAGGTTTTCCATCATTCTGAAGAGATATTCAACATATAGGAGTATGTTGTGTCAGTATAATTTACGATGAGGATACTCGATATATGGTGTAATATGATTAGTACTGGCTTTACATGACAAAGAACGATTTTCTTATAATATGAATAGTTTCATTCAATTGAGAATGATGAAAAGCCTAACTGTTAATTGATAAACATAGAATTTAAAAAAATTTGAAAAAATACTCATAAATGGCTGTTTTCAGCATTTTTAATGATCAGTGTGGGATGTATATCTTTTGAATGATAGAAAATAAAAATTTCGGGTTTATGTAGAGTTGTAGATCTTGAGTAGATGACTCTAGCGCATCCTTTATAATTGAAATTCCATACATTCTTCAAAGCACTTTAACTTCTTCTTTGAATTTCACTGACTGCTCATCAAATTTATGAGTAAGTTTTATTAACTAAAATATAGAAAGATGCAGAATGTCAGCCTCTTTCTAATGGTGAAAATCATAGATCGATAACTCTTTCTGCTGAAGAGATATTCGAAAAACAACCGCCCTTCTTGTATTGTGAAATGGACGTTAGTTGTCCCGATATGTTTTCAATAGAGTTTATTTCGCATATATTTTGTGCATAGATTAATCATGTAATCTTGAAATTTCGCCAAAAGATTTGCCGTTAAATTTGCTAATCTTTCATGATTTATCTTTTTTGGGATTTACTAGATTCACTCAACAAATGGAATTCCTCTATATGATAGAACAGGATACAATTCAATCATATTTAAAAAAGAAAGTATATG